GTTAAGTGGATCTCTTCCTAGTCAACTAGGAAACCTCACAAGTCTGCGTTTCCTTGACCTTTCTGGTAATAGGTTAAGTGGATCTCTTCCTAGTCTACTACGAAACCTCTCAAGTTTGCGTTTCCTTGATCTTGGGTCTAATGAATTTCACAGTGTTGAAAATCTTGAGTGGCTCTCTCATCTTTCTCTTTTGAAATACCTTGATCTGAGTGGAATCGACCTTAGCGAGGTTAATAATTGGCTGCAGCTGGTTAATAAGCTTCCTCATCTAACCAACCTGCGGCTCAAATCTTGTAATCTTCTAGATGTCATTCCTCAACCTCTCCCCATGAACAATAGTTCTACTTCTCTTGCTGTCCTTGAGTTATATGATAATAACTTGACTGCTACAATGTTCCAATGGCTTTTCAACTTTAGCAATAGCCTTGTCCAGCTCGACCTATCTCACAATCAGTTACAAGGTTTGATTCCAGAAGCTTTTGGTAACATGATTTTCCTAGAAGAACTAAGTCTCGGGGGTAATCAATTTGAAGGTGGGATTCAAAAATCCTTTGGCAACATGTGCAAATTAAGGCTTCTAGACCTGTCATTTAACAATCTCAAAGGAATGCTTCCTGAGTTCTTTGGTAACTTATCCGGATGTCTAGAACTTACCTTAGAGACTTTGTCCATATATGATAACAAATTCATGGGACCTTTACCCAATGCAATTAGAAACTTTTCATCATTGAAGGAGTTGTTACTTTCATACAATAGACTAAATGGGACTGTGCCCCACTGCGTCGGACTCTTGTCCGAGCTTGAGACATTTCATATCAGTGGAAATTCCTTTAATGGGGTTATCACTGAGGCACATTTCTCAAAGCTCTTCAAGTTAAAAGTGTTGGCACTGGCTTCTAATTTTTTGAGCTTCAACATTAGCCTTGACTGGATTCCACCTTTCCAGTTGAATAACATATTTCTCCGTTCTTGCAAGTTAGGTCCAAAATTTCCAAAATGGTTACAGACTCAAAGAAACTTCTCGATTCTTGATATCTCTAGGAACGAAATTTCAGATAGCATCCCCGATTGGTTTTGGGAAATATCTTCTGGAGCAGATCAGATCAATATTTCTAGCAACCGCATCTATGGAATTCTACCATATTTCTCAATGAAGTTTTCTGGTTATCCTGGGATAGATTTGAGTCATAATAAGTTGGGGGGTCCATTACCACTATTTCCTGCTAATATGTCGTCATTATCACTCTTCAACAATGGGTTTTCTGGGAATATTTCTTCTCTCTGTTCTGTAACTGGTAACACATTTCAGTTGCTTGATATTTCGTTCAATCAACTATCTGGAGAGCTTCCTGATTGCATGGCAAGTTGGTCAAATTTAAAGATTCTAAATTTGGGTCACAATCATTTATTTGGGAAAATTCCAAGCTCTATTGGATCTCTTAACATGCTTGAAACGTTGGTTTTGCGCAACAACAGCTTCTCTGGTGAAATACCTTGGTCTTTAGGAGGCTGCATTCACTTGCAATTTGTGGACTTGAGTCATAATAATTTCTCAGGACTAGTGCCAGACTGGATTGGAGGGAGATTGGGCAACCTAACCTACCTTCTCCTTAGATCCAATAATTTCTACGGAGATATCCCCTTACACCTATGCCAATTGACAAAAATGATGGTGCTGGACTTCTCTAACAACACACTCTGTGGAAACATACCATGGTGCATTCATAATATGACTGCCTTGACCAAAAAGGAAAATTTGGTTGGTTATCATATGTTTTTGGCTACTATTACGAGGGATCATGTCCGTCTTTTTTATCCCTATGTTGACAATGCGTTTATTGTGTGGAAAGGAACAGAATATGAATTTGCAAAAAATCTCAGGAATCTGAGGCTCATTGACCTTTCAAGCAACAATTTAACCGGAGAAATTCCACAACAGATATGTAGTCTCTTTGAACTGGTGCAATTGAATTTGTCAAGAAATCAATTGACGAGAGGGATTCCAGCAAATATAGGACAAATGAGAAGCTTAGAATCACTTGATCTGTCACGAAACCAGCTTTCAGGCCAGCTTCCTTCAAGCATGTCCCAGTTAAGTTTTCTCAGTACATTGAACTTGTCAAATAACAACTTTTGTGGGAGAATCCCGTTGGGCACCCAATTGGAGAGCTTTCCTGCTTATGCATTTGCTAATAATTATGCACTATGTGGGCCTCCGCTAACACCAACATGTCCGGAAGATGAGATACCTTTCTCTGGTGGTGGTAGAGATATCCAGGATGATGGGGACGAATTCTGGAAAGGGTTTAAACCCAGCATGGAACTCGGGATGGCTTTTGGATTTTTGGGAGTCCTGGCGTTGAAGTTGGATCATCCAGGGAAACATGTCCGTATCTTGCTATTTAACTACATGAAGATCACCCTCAACAACTTGAAAGGCTACCTCTGTTTGATTGTTGCAGCACTTGGTTTGGTGGTAACGGTGAATGCTACCAGATTGCGAAGAAAGTTGAGGTTTTAAGACCCATCACTCTTTCTGTAGAGTGTGGAGAAGTGGGTATGTATTATGTTGGTTTATGCTACCTTGTTGATTAAAAGCATTACTTCATTGAATAACAAATCTGCCTCTGACCGTTGTTTTCCAGGTTCAAAATGTTTGTTAAGGCTTTAGCCTTCAAGGACAAAGCTTCTCTGGTGATGTCGAATTCTAGCGCGTCTTTTCAACCCCCATAAGATTCCACATTTGGATTCCTTTCCAAGTAGTAGTGTTTTTTTTTTCTTTTCCTTTCTGTATATATGCTCTGTTATGTTGTGGTCTGAAACTTTCAATGGATGGTTTATGTCTTGTGTTGTATAAGCTTTCATCCACACTAGTGTTGGATGGTTTGTTTTGGTTTCCTTTAGGGCAATATTTTTCAATAAAAACAGCCACGCGAATCACTTAGTTATTAAACTAATCCTTTCTTTTAAGTTATTAAACTAATCCTTTCTTTTACATTTTAGTATTAGCTATACAGCTGTATATCCGTCTTTGCTTGTCTTCATATTGGAACTTGAGACTTCTAATATGGAAACCCTATAGACACAAGAATTTGTGTGAGTACAAAGTTTCATTAACTAAGACCAACTTAGTTATTAAACTAATCTTTTTTTTTACATTTTAGTATTTAGCTATATAATACCATGCCCCTCTTTGCTTGTCTTCATATTTGAACTTGAAACTTCTAATATAGCAACCTTGTAGAAACAAGAATTTGTGTTAGTACAAAGCTCCATTAAGTAAACTAAGACTTAGAATTTAAGTTAAAATCAGTCCATGATTCCTTATAACCAGTGAACTTAAGCCATAAAAACTCAAATTCGCGCTTTTAACTCACAGACAATTAAAATGCAGTCAAATTTTCAATTGAAATACAATTCCTTTTGAACGGCCAAAAATAACCATTTAAAACGCAAAATCCACAACAAATAAACTCATTTAAACTAAAATCTACCAGTAACAAATGAGATTCAATCAGCCACTTCAAGCTAATTTTGTTAAGTAAAGCAAAACTCAAAATCATTTAAAAGATATGGATGATAACAATGAGACAATGAATTTCAGCTTAATACTAAATCAGATCCTGTTGAAGATAATCATTGTGTTTCAGGACCTATATTAGCACAGACAGAAAGTCACCAAATGCCTAAAATCAAAACTAACTTGAAAAAGAGTGATGAGAATGTAGCAGCAAGCATGCACAAAGAAATGCAAAAAGCAAACCATGTACAAATATAGAAGAACAAACCTCATTTAGGCTGCGTTCCAAATGTTATCAATTGCCCTGTCTAGAACTGTTTCTTCTGATTTGCAATTCCAACACATCAACTCACCTCTATGCAAATAATAGAAGCAAACAAAAAGAGTGAAAAATTCATTGAATTAGCCAAGCCAAGAGGTCCAGGATCATCGATATCTTTATTCCAAAATAATAAATTCAAAATCTGATCATCCATAGACACAGCAATAAGTCAGTACTTAAGAAAATTAAGTTTCTACCCGTGAAAACTTGTAACTTGATAGTGCTATATTATGTACAAAATTTGAGTTAAGGGACACCAAGGAAATTAAATCATAACTGAGGTAAAAACTGAGAAAAATCAATCCCATAGACCATGAATCGTATCTTCCAAGTAATAGATTCATCACAAGAACAAAGAATTAAATAATATTTTACCTGAAAATGTTAATGGATGCATCTAATACATATCTCTTGCTAATCCATCTCCACTTTCTTGCAGAGTTTTCGTTTACCAAATTCTCTCTTCGAGATCTATAAATTCCTGGAATTTAGAGCAAGTAAAGCAAAGTACTGATTCTAAAAATTCATGTCAAACAGTAAGAGGCAATAAACAGAAAAAAAAACACATGGATGGCGAATCAAAATTACCACAATTCAGAGCGACAGAGAAAGAAGAACGAGATTTTGAAGAGAGGAAGTATCGGAGAAGAGAGGGTTTTGGCCGTCGGCAGAACCCTCAAATCGCCACTTAAAAAATATGGGAACCCTCAAATCGCCCCTTAAAAAATATGGGTAGGGACGGATCCACCTTCCAAAAAAAAGCAGGGACAGAAGGCACTCTCAAATTATCGATCAATACAAATACCCCATTATTTAACCGCTGACGTCATTACCGTTAAAAAATTCATTTGCTCGTGTTGATATGGCTATTTTTGACACCGTGGCTAATGGACCTCATTCTTTTTCCTTTTTAACCAATATTTCCTAAATTAACTTTCATATCCACTCAAATTTATGAAATTATGCCATTCCTCAAACGCATATCTTGGCTTCTGTGTTTCTATTCCCATTTCCCCACCTTCTTTTTAAGCTAGATCTACAAGCCTCAATGTCCTTCATGACTAGTCAAGCAAGACAACATAAGAGAAAATCTTAATGGCAAATAATTGTGAAAAAGAGAAAGTCTTAATGGCAAATAATTAAGAAAAAAAAATGAAGAAGAAGAAGAAACCCATGAAATCTCACAGTTATTGTTTTCAATGCCAGTAAATATTTTTTAGAAGTTCAAAGGCCAAAAAACAATGAAATGAACTAAATATTCTTGAGAAACAAGAACAAATCACTACAGAAACATAATTTTATGAAAAGAAGAAATACCCAAATGAAAAACTTACCTCAGAACAATGAAAAATACCCAAATGTCTAGGTTCGCAACGAACCTCACCTATAGTTGCTTCCATCACCTTTCACCAACCCAAAGTTCAAAACTCATAAAAGAATCAGCGCTTGCTTCCTAATATTCACCTCTCCCGTATCGACCCAAAAGCGGCCAAGCAACCATAGTAGACTATGAAGTGCCCGACCGCCCTCCACCGCCACCCCAGCCCTTCGCCTTTTCTCCACCTTCCTAGCAATGGATCAGGCCGACTCCTTGCTCTCCCTCACGAGGTATGTCTTTGAACCTCTAATTGCAGCAGCTTCAACTACATCTTAGCCCCTTATTTTGAAATCTCTTTATTGAAAATTGGTGTTCATCTTGCATGAATGTGTGAAGGAGGATCATTGACAAAAAGACTGCAGAAGTTTGTTTGGGATCATCTTCTCAAAAACTCTATGAGTAATTAGGTTTGATTTTCTCAAAAATTTCTTTGAGATTTACACCCTGTTTGGATTGAGGGAGACCAACGGAGAGGGATGGGGAGTGAAGGGGACGGATGGTAATTGAGGGAGAAGGAGGGGAGGCTGTCTCCTTCCTTATGTTTGGATATGCAAAGACCAAGAAGGGGAAGGAGATGGAGGAGGTTTGGATCCCCTCAACAACCCCTTGCAACTGCAGATTTCCAATCCCCCCAATTTGGGGGGTTTGGGACGGATTTGGCGAAGGTTATCTATTTTGCCAAAGAAAATTACCGTAATATCCTCTTTACCCATATTATTTAACACCTTCTGGTTCTTCTTCCACCTTAGTTACCAGCATCAGCAGCCAGTATTCAAAATTACGTATATACCTGCTCAACGTCACCTTCTGGCTTGCATTTTGATTTGTTTGGCTGAAAGTAAAATATGGAATGGTGAAGCTTGAAGCATTGCAGTCAGATTGGGACCCTGATAGGAAAGATAAGGTAATGATGTTGATTTTGATCAGGTATCTTTGGATGGTTTTGAAACTAATGATGTTGATTTTGATCCTTTAACATGTCTTGGAGGTCCTTCAAATGTGCCAACTAGCTCAAAATCGAAAAAAATAAAGAAGTCACAAGAAATTGAAAATGAAGCAATGGGCATTCAAGAAGCTATCAACAATGTAGCTCGAGCTCTATCTGAAGGGAATTCACGTCCTCCACTTTCAGAGGCTGAAGTTTGGAATATGTTGGAGGATTTGGGACTTAACTCAGATCAAATTACCACTGCTTATTTATATCTGCTTGAGCATCCAGATAAATTAAGAGCAGTACTAGGATGTCCACCTGGGAGACGCCTAGATATTGTTATGAGGGTTGTTTTTGGTACTTCTTAATCATCAAGTTCTTGGGCACAATCCGTAGCTTTATTTTTTAAATTTGACTAATTTAATTT